GATTTATTTTACTTCACAATCAGAGCTGATTTTTAAAAAAAAAAAAAAGTTTAAACTCTGAAGCTCAATACTTGACATAATTGGTCGAAACTATCAGCCAATGGGGTTAGAGACGCAGAAATGATTTAAAGATGTTATGCTGATGAAGACTGACATCTAGTGGTCAACTGGAGCAACTACATGGAAAACTTTAAAATCCAAGCTCTTATTTTGAAATGATTGAAGTTGGGTTGGGCACAATCGTATCGTGTGCAATTAATCATCAAAAACATTAATCGATTACTTTTTGGCACTTGACGATTAATACGATTAATGCCACCAGGCAGACTGACTGGGGATCACTCCAGTCAGTCTGCTCGGTGCTCCTCTCCGCTTCAAATATGACGAACATTAAAAAAATTCTGTAATTTCTTTATCTATCAACACAATTTAAAATTTGATGTATAGCCTGAAATCTGTAATTTTCACACAACTTGAAACAATTTTTTACAAAGATCAAATCTTTCCCACCAAATTGGTCATGTGACTATGAAATAAGGAAGTCCTAATTAATCATGATTAATTTTTTTGCCAACATTACCCAACCTTAGATTGGAGATAGTTTCTTGTACTCCATGCTTTTGTTTCCCGTCACAAATCAAATCTGTCATGTACCCAGAATGCATTGCTTCAGTTTTCCAATAAACAGTTTTAAAATTACTTTATTGATGCTTCTTTAATGAAAAATCTACAACAAACAAAAGAAAAAGACAAAGAAGCAGCCGAACTAGCAATCCTCAACAACKTTTTGATTTTTACACCAGGAGCCAAGTTCTGTTTCATGAAATCAGATCCCCAGCAATGTGTGGTTGTAGGATTAAGCTGTAAAAGAGTTCATACACCACTAGTCAGCAGTGTTGTACATATATTGTACACGAATTGTTGCTAGTAAGTGTCAAATTGAACTTGTGCTTTAAAATTAGCTTCTGCTAGTTTTTCTTTGACAKAAGCGCTTTAGAAATTGAGGAGCTAATTTTTGGTTTAGCGCTGCCCACCACTGACAAAAAAAAAACATGTCTAATCATTGCAGACAAAGACCTTGTTTTATTATTTTTATCTTATAAAAACCTGTTTATATCTCCATGGTCGTGGGTCACCACTACAGGCAGCTGCCATCTTGTCTACGAAGGCTCATGAAGGACAAACTGCGGTGGCAGCGTCAAAAACGGTTTTAGTTGTAATACTATACATGTAATATTGGTTGTCTGTCATTGTAGCTGGGATAATTTTACTTATTAAAGCTCATAATCTTACCACTTGAAACATCACTAGCCCTGAAGCTGCTGGTAGACATCGCGGTTGGAATTATCAAAGGTTTTTGACACCTGAGAGACACCGTAGCAACTCCTTTGTGTTTGGGTGGGGGTGGGGGGAGGACCAGGGAGGATGATTCAACCACTAGATGTCACTGAAAACAACAAATCCTACACACTGTGCCTTTTATGGATGTTTTTAGGTAACTATTACAACTAATTTCCTTCATTTGCAACTTTATTTATTTCACACTTAAAAAATGCGGACATTGACTTGAAACACAGAGTTTAAGTAAAGTGATGAAGATATTTCAATCAGCTATTCTCTCTCTGCATGTGTTAAGACAGTTGTTAAACATCTAAAACGTTTATAAGAGTATTTGAATGTTAAAAAAACTGAGATAAATACTGAGGAACATACCTGTCTGAGAGCAGTCCAAAGAGAATGGCTCCAAACGTGACACCGAGGAAGAAGTAGGTGGCAAGAGCTTGATTGAGGTGTTTGTCAGCACAGACCAAGTCCCACTGCAGAGACACGTGTCACGCATCACCTTCACTGTACAACAGTCATAGTTCAAACCCATATAATTACATACACTGTAGAAAATCTACAGAATCGTTTTTCTTTCACTGACATAAAATCAGACATAAAATCTTCTAAAGTCRCAGGTTCAAATCCATATTTCTTTTTAAATTGTAACTGTGTTTAAACTGTCTGAGTTGAGTTAAACATTTAGTTGAAACTTCCACAATTTTCTCCCAATCATTTGCTGGATTTGTTCCCGTTCTTCCTGACATCCTGTTTGTGATGTAACACTGACTCAGTTGCCTTTAAGTCACTTTGTAACTAATCTGTCCATGTGCTGAGGGTCAGTGTTCGATTAAAGACATTTTCATCTTCAACTTCCTGTTTGGTGTCTTCAGAGGATGCCTCAAAATTAAATTTTTTCTTATAATTCCTTTTAACAACAGTGTTTTTTAAATGATGAATCTGGAAAGTGATTATAAAAATGTTGGCTCAATAAATTTGTTTAAGAGAATGATAAAAGTTAGACTGTTGAAGAAATATGAATGTGTATAAGGTGCATTCATAAGAACTGTTGGTCAAGAAGGAGTTGACTTTTTATGTTTTGTTATTTGAAGATTATTATTGTTTGAATTTATATATTTTTATTTATTTTTTTGTTTTTACAAAAGAGGCAGATGTTAATAAGAATTTTTCTTCTTTCTGCTACCTTTTATTTTATTTGTGATATGTATTATTTGTTGCACAGTGGGTAAAATAAGTATTGAACACTTCACCATTTTTCTCAGTAAATATATTACTAGAGGTGCTAATG